CGTCCCTATGCATGCGACTATCCTGGTTGTGGCAAAGAGTTTAATCAAATATGTCATTTGAAACTTACACGAACGCGTACACACGGGCGAACGTCCTTATGCGTGTGACTATCCTGGGTGTGGCATGGAGTTTACAGCAAGTGGTAGTTTGAATAGACACAAACTAGTGCACACGGGTGAACGTCCCTATGCGTGTGACTATAATGGGTGTGGTAAGGAGTTTAGTCGAAAGGATAGTTTATAAAGACACAAACGCGTGCACTCGGACGAACTTCGTGCCTATGCGCATGACTAGTTGCAATGTTTAAACAATCTTTTCATCTACGTCACCATAGACGCGTTCACAATGGCAAACACGGCACAACCAATTAAACAGGAGGGTTTTAGGGTTTTTAGGTCAAGTCTCAAGTTTACTGTACATCATCTACACTAACAACCTAAACTCTAGAACCCCAAATGCACCCGACTTTGTGTGTCGCCATGACACGTTGATTTAGAAGGTTTTTATTGACATACATGCCGTTGCAGTAATGTATGACGTTGGCGTTCAACCCGAGCCATGAAGTCAACTGTAATACGATTTAGGCAGAGATTCAATTGTTTGTATGTGAGCTTGAATTGCTGCAGTCAAAGTGTGGGCTCTACTGGGTGTGTTGCATAATCTATATACCGAGGCTTTGATGAGATACAACTAGGACACAGCTACATGTATTTTGTTTAGTTTTGATCAGCATTTGAACCACTGCCAGTCCCCTTTATAAGCAGTATAGCTACGTGCAACAACAAAAAGTTAAATATGTAATATATATCGATATCAAACCCTAAATATGTATGGACACATATTGTATAGTTTGCTAATCAATATCATACACAGCCTTTTGTATCAGTTTACGTTTTATGATTGTGTAAAGGGAATACTTAGCCTGTATCAAATCATGGAAGTGAAGACTCTTGTGGAAATTAGACGTCGTATGTCGATAGTATCCACATCTCCCTCCCCGTGACGAGTCCAAAAGACATCTGGCAGACTTGCACATGCTACTCTATATCATTTCCCACTATACTGCAGTTGAGCACTCGTGCGATTGCCGAGACACATCTACTATTTGTTATTTAAATATATACAAACCTTATAGTTCCCAACTATTCTTGTACACTAGCATTCACATGTCTATAGGTTTTTTATATGCCTTTGTAGCTTACAATAAATCGGTGTTCGAAGCACATAGTTTATTTATGCATATCTATATGTATATATATGCACACGCACACATATATGTATATATATATGCACACACACACATATATATATGCACACACACACATATATATACATACACACACACATATATGTTTATAATGTCGATACTTCTAACGACTACAAACAGGATTCCTAACAAGAAAATAGTATGGACAAAAAAGAAGTATGCATTGTATATTTTTATCATGTCTGATTTATATATACGTCCTCTTATTTATTGCTACTTACCCAAAATTAAAAACTAAATACACTAACATAGTATGTCAACGAGCTTTCGGATGCCTATTTTTGTTAGTGGCTTATTTCTTCCGAATTTATATTTGGGCATTTCTATTCCTGCTACGGCCTTTATGAGTACCCAAATAATTTAAGACATCAACTATGTCTGCATAGAAGTAATTAAGTATATATATATATATGATTATTTACATATGCATCAGAAAGTGATTCCAGACATATATTTGGTTTTTCTACATTTATATCCGTATATACACGTTCGACTTTATATAGACACCTCCCTAGCATGTGAGTTTACTTATTCAAAAATCAAACTGCACAGTTCCATCTCATTCAGATTTACAAGAAATGTGTATCGACCGAAAGTCCACACTCTGAAATATAGACTTCATGCATGCATACAGATTTGTAACTATTAGCAGTTACATGTACAATTGATATACACGACGAATACATATTTGTATTTAACGATTAACAGATACATATACAATTAATATACACCATGAACGAATACATATTTGCAACTATTAACAGATACATATACAATTAATATACATCATGAACGAATACATATTTGTAACTACTGACTTCTCACTTAACTACAGATTGACGTTGCTGTTCCGGACAGTTGAAGGGTTTGCGAGATGTTCGTGATCAGAGTTGGAAGCAACCGCTCGATAACGATCTACGACTATTCACCAACTATGCAACCTATCCGTTTATATACTGCTTGATATGTGAGGCTTGTGCTGTGCTACGCATTTGATGTTGTGGGGCTTGTCGACAACATCGGCAGATTAAGAGATTAAATGACGAGTGTGAGGTGATAGCTGTTGTGGGGCTTGTCCATCGGCAGATTGAGAGATTAAATGAAGAGTGTGAGGTGATAGCTGTTGTGGGGCTTGTTCATCGGCAGATTAAGAGATTAAATGAAGAGTGTGAGGTGATAGCTGTCGCCTGCAGCCAGTCATTTGCCGAAGACTGCTACCCACCAACCGATTTCACAGCAATACACAGCCATCGTACTTGATATGAGGCGCATTTCATGATCGTACAAATCTATTGAGCGACAACTGACCTATCGGGAAAACTTGTAACATGTGAAACAATCCACTCAGCCACGATGCGAGCATACATGGATACTACGCACTTAGTACTACTTGCAGATATTGGCAACGCTGATACCTCAAAGGTTAATATATAATACACAGCTACAGGTTCATTTATAATACACAATGATTTAATACATTTCGTTCCCCACATATACAATTCTCTAATAAACAATCAGTCGTGTCTCACTTTGGCAGCGAACTCTCCACAAAATTCGAATTTGCAGTGCGATTGGCTGCTTAGATGGGCTGCTTCTGTTGACTGGAGTTCATGAGCGTTGAATTCTCCAGCGATGTCGCCATTGCCTATACAGCGAAGAGTAAACACGTGATAAGATGAGACATATGGAGAATACACATATGATCAGAAACAGAGGCATATGATTAACATGACTAATTAGAAGAGGCGGTAAATCAACAGATATATGACAAATACGACCAACCAACAGATACCTATGATAGATTTGACCAACAAACGGATGTCTACGAGAAGTCGTACTAGCTTAAAAATCAACCAACTTCAGTGTACAGACATGCGTTCATATGCAAATGTCGTCCACAAATCGCAACCACTAATAAGACGAACTTTCATGTCTACTGAAGGTAATCGAATGTGACAATAACGGAATAAAAACACAGCAGCGCACGCGGATATCATATCTGACGATAAAAAAAAGGTCACGTTAATACCGAAATAAATCCAGCACGGGTCACATACCTCTGACAAACGACGGCTGTCTCTCTTCGTGACTTCGAATACTGAGCTCTTGCGGCGAGCGGTAAGACCTCCGGGCAACAGAGCCTCAGCCTCTTCATCCTCTTCAGGCAACGCCTAAATACAACAGGCACAGGCAAGCCAAGCATCAGCAACGGTGTGAGATAAAACGCACACCCCCCGCAATCAGACACAACACTAGTGAAAACTACGATTATGATTGCAGGGCTATCAGCATGCAACATACATGGCACTTTTAGCAAAGTCACGGCTTTATGATACATTATTTCTAATTGCGCACTAAGAGCAGAGTAGCATTTAACAGCCGATGGCATGAGAAAGCACCGGGAATTGTCGCGCGAATAGGCGTAGCACCCACAGATACAGCCAAAACACAACACCGATCGAAGGCAAGATGACCATACAAGTGACAGGTACAAATGAGCAAGTGACCATGCAATTGACAAGTACATGAGCAAGTGACCATGCAATTGACAAGTACATGAGCAAGTGACCTTACAATTGATAAGTACATATGAGCAGGCGACCATACGATTGACACGTATATATGAGCAGGACATACCTCCATGGATGCCATGACAAGCGCAGACTGCTCGGCCCAATTAATCATCATCAGCTTGCCGATAAAGAAACTGAGCTTGAAGATCTCCATGACAAGAATAGAGATCCACAGAGCAGCCAATCCCTTCTTATAGACAATGCCCAGAACAAAGGCAACGGGAATCTCAATCAACCACGTGCCGATAGTACTGTGGGAGACAGAGGCCACGGAAGCAAGGGGATTAATCGAAGTGTATTAGCATGCTCGATGCATATATTTTGTACATTAGTAAATTGTGGGCGGGTATTTAAATACAGGCAAAATAGCGTAGCACATGTAAATAGCCAAGCATCACACGAATAAAGGTGGTTGACCAGAGTATGGTTATAGTTATTAACAAACACGTGAAAAAACCCCCCCTCATACTTAATCCAGAAGATTATGCCTAAACCCTAAACCAAAACGGCACAGGTAGCACTCCTACTTAATCCAAAAGATAATGCTTAAACCCTAAACAAAAACAAGAAAGGTAGCACTCATACCTGATCCAGAAGATGATGCTGACACTTCCCATTCCAGTGAGCACTGCGGCAGACAGCACCTCCAAGTTTTCAATGAGCACAGCAACAATGTAGATGTAGACGACATCCTCGCACATGTCCAAGATCTTGGGATCGTTGGAGTAGATGCCGAAGAACTTTCGCGAGGCGAAGAAAATAGTTGACAGCAGAATCAACAGAACCACAATACTGCACGCCAGACCACACAAGGCAACCTTACGCGACGCTTGAGGGCGTCCTGCTCCCATATAGTTGGCCACCTGAGTGCGCGTAGACGATGTTTTGTGTGAGAAGTGCATATGGAAACACAAACGAAAACTCCAGCAGCAACCTGCCATGCACTGTAAATGTCATCAATGTATTGGGGAGGCTGCACACCATTGTTACTGGGATAGGCCTTATGCAGCAGAACAACACAAAATCATTGAGGTTTAAAGGCCAGAGAGGAACATACCTTAACCTGAGTGGAGCAACCGAAACCCCAGAACAACGCCCAGATGATTGACCACAGTCCACCCATGACGGCATTAGCGGCAATCACATCCGAGCCCATTCGCGCAGCCAGAAGCGTCAGCGCAGAGTTGGCTAGAGTAGACACCAGACTGTTCATGGCCACGGGGAAGGCGATTCCTCCGAACACCTGCAGAACGATGAAATGAATGTATTAGAAGCGGCTACTATGGACGTGAAATAATGCGACGAGGGATTCATTACATCTGTTAGACGATGTAAAATACATTCAAATATCTGAGACTGCAGGGACAAGGTCTATAGCATACGAGGTACTTTGTACTAAAACCTAAGACATTACCTTTAGACGCTCTACGCTCAAAGCGTTGCGGTCGAAGCCATACCAAGCATCCTTGTGGTAACCCTTCCAGGTGACACACAGCAGGAACAGACATAGCGGTTGATACCAACTGGCGATGACGGTGGCTAGAGGAGATCCAATGAAGCCCAGACCAGACCATCCGAAGCAGCCGTAGATCAACAGCCAGTTAAGCAGCACAGTCAGCAGAATGGATGTCACTCCGCAGATGGTAGTGGCCCACATAATGCCCTGGGACAACCACGACAGTTTACAAGTGCAAAGCCATCAGTGCCTTGGATACAACGCACACACACACACATATATACAGGTACTGTGCTAAACTACATGAGAGTTGTACATATTTCGGTACTTCTGTTCAATTATGAGTTATATATATAAATATATATAGGAATTTGAGCATGACTGCAAGCGATAAACTAAAATCTCACAGCGGGCGGGCGAGAATTGACAAGTGAGGATGTGCGCTAGCGTGAGGACTTCACTGACAGCTCTTTGTGGTGTACCATAAATACAGCACTCCATTGTATAGGAAATGTATAAGCCAAGCACAGTCTCGGTTTGCGACCCATACTCGAGTCTGATATATGCTGTGTAGCTCAGGGGGCAAGGCGCAGTAGCAACACTAAGCGCAAGTGCAGCCAGAAAGAGGAACAAGGATGTGATATGAACCGATGACAGGCGCATACACCCGGACTCAAAACTAGTAAGTGTTGAGTCAGCAGATCATTAGCACATTTATGAGACTACCAACATTGTTAATCATGCGAAAGTAACGGCAGATCAGTGCCCTGGGATGTGATCGGGTAAATAAACGCTATAGGTAAACAGTGGATCAACGGACGGGTTTGAGATAGAACCCAGTGAAGTGCATGATACACTAGGCACATTACTTCCTGAAATACCAGCACACGGATTCTACTAGCCAACTTAATATTGAAACAACGAGAGGCACAGTGAGAATTCGACCATATCTCATACACACCATAGCCTGGAAGTACTGGCGAAGGCAGGCGTAGAACAGCGACGGCGCAATGGAGAAGGACAGCATCCGTGCGAACTCAACACCCGCCTCAACGACCACGGGATCAGGTGACGAGTACTGTAGCACAAACCCTACGCACCAGTACCAGATGAACACCAGCAGACCCAAAAACTGCAGTGGACGAAGCGATGAGGTGCACACCACGAGGAAGGGTTAGTGCAATGATGGCTGCGAGAGAATCCTAAACCCTAAAGAGTGAATCAATTCAATCGGACCAACGTGTAATGTATCCATCGGCCATACACGCTACGCTAATACCAGCCAAATAGCCGATAGGGCGCGGTTAACTGTGGACACGTACACCTCTATGCAGTTGCCCATGTTTCTTGGACTTCATATCTGCTGGCGTGAAGTCAGTGAAATGTGGCAAACGTGCAACAACTATATTATCAATCCAAGCAACGACGCAAGTGCAAGTGCAAGCCAATTAAAAACATTCTCCAATCAACACTATTGTTTCTTGGACCAAAATTTTGTAGAATAGCATAATGCAGAAACGAACGCAGCGTAGCATGCTAAACTAGCGTCAACTGTACCATTAAGGCTCACAACGGGAAGGCAATGTACATCTCACAGTGCTCGCGTATTCACATCTGACGCTTTAAAAAATACACTTCTCACGCTTGCACTGTGACGGTCTCCATGTGCCTTTGCTTTGCGTTGTGGGGTCTGTGTGACTGCTGAAGTGCAGCCTACCATACGACAGTACATTGCAAACGCTCGATCACTTTGAATATGAGCCTGCGCTGTAAACATACCTGAGTGATAATAACTCCGAACTGCAGCCAGATACCCACTAACTCTTTGTTGCCGGCGCCCCAGGCTTGGCCACACAGCGTAATCAGCGCAGCAGTGCCACCCCACACGGCCATCAGAGGCAGCGACGTCCACACTTGCGCCAACGATGCAGCCGCAAGATATTGTGTACCGAAATGTCCCTGTAATCACAAGTATGTAAAATGTTAGTCACCGTAAGCATGAGTACGCAGAATTATAGTCCCCGTTCGTACAAGAAAAACGCGAAGGAAGGCTATGGTCCAAGTATTGACAAAACTTAAGGATGATGTGGCGTGTTTCAAAACAATTGTATCTTTGGGGGTGAGAGCAATAGAATGAGTACTTTGAGTTGTTGTATATATACCGATAGGCTGCGAAAACCGACCATCACGCGTACAAAATAACACGCTAATCAACTGATCACCGTGAACACAGAACGTGCGGAGCAACAAAACGTTCAAGCAGCCTAAAAAGCAGGTAAGAGGACAACTCACCAAGAAGGCTGAGTCAATGGATGTCAAAGCAATTCGCGTGACAGTCGCCAGTGACACCTGCCACGACATGCTCAGCAGGTCAAGGAACTCCTCCTTCATATTCACCGGAGGCTCATTGCGCATGACCTGACTGTCAGACCTTTTCACTTCGGGTTCAGCCATGATGACGAAATCTGTTTATGTACTCTATTCACCTACTATCCCAGTGTAAAACACCAGTTGATAAGATAACACACTTAGTTCGGTTATATAGCGACTGAGGGCGAGCGATAGATGCACGTCCCTTCTACGTAGATAAAGTGGATACTTCGTAGAATTGCGTGTGTAGCGCTGATATAATTGTGCATTTCGCTGGTGCTGTTTTTTAATGTTTGCTGGTATATTTGGGTACATAAATTTGGGCCTTTGGACCCGAATTCTCACGAAAGGACGAGAATGTGGTTGTCCTAAAATTCTGCTGTTTAAAAAAAAAGAAAAAAGCTGTGAGTCCTGTGACTACTGAGTACAGACTGCGTGAGCTGCGATACGCTCAGGGCCAATAAATTTCGTTGCAGTCGCAAATTCGCAATCCAATATGGAAATCCGAAATCAGGAACCTCAATGCACCTGTAGGATTGATTGGGTTCATACTTGGCTTTGGACTTCATCTCTCGAGAGGAATAGACCCATTTCAGTTCTACAAGGCCCATACACTCTGGGTAATGCAGCCGCTACCCGCCACCAACCGGGAAAGTGTATGTAAATATTGTGATTTCAATTTGTGGCGGTTTCACGGCTCACTCTCACCTCTTGGTTCTGGGCTGAGGCTCTGAGGCTGGGCCTCTGCCCTCTTGCCCTCACTCTGACCCTCATACACACACTGATATGTACTGGGGGACCTGGGGATGAACCCCCAAGTCTAACTGCTCGCTCTACTAGCACAGGCTCTGTCCGTAAGAGTACTAAGTATCAGTACGAGCTACATAATAATCAGCGGACCAATAATTAGCATTGACAAAACCTAATATGGACATTCATTATTTTCCTACACACATTTTGACTATTCTGAATCTGATATTCGTCCCTCTGTGTCCTGTGACTGTGTACGTGAGTTTGTGACTATCTCTCTCTCGCTGGTAAAAAAAAAATTACAGAGTATTTAAATACGTCAGTAAATTTCGACAATTTGTCCATACCTATTACTCCATAGCCTTCTGAAAACCAATTTTGAACTCATAATAGTAATTGTATTTATTTTTTATAATAAATACGAACTTTTAACGACCATGCGGCGGCTTGCGGCCTTGCGCCTTTTGTGTGTGACTGCGTGGGACTATGCGTGGTTAAGAATTTGGCAGCCGATTTTGCCTCATTTTTACGTATTTACGTTTAAAAATAGATCCGTTAAACGTATATGTTTGACGTTCATATCGTAAATGGCACAGTATAAGTTATGAGCTCAGTGGGGCTAGAGCTTGGGGCCTTGGGGCCTTGGGGCCTTGAGCCCTCGGGCCCTTGGGGCTTGGATTCCTTGGAATTTGCAAGTTATTAGATAGTAAATATTTGCTTCAATATTGAGACTACATATTTGAGAGTATGTGTGGTGCTAAAATATGTGCATATACTCACAGGCACATTGGGGTTATCTTTTATCATATGAGCGATGTTACAGGTAGTGCAGGTAGATAAATTGAGTGGCGTCCGTCAATAATTCACACACGCTGATCACGATACCGTTCTCAGAATCGTAATACGTCCAGTAGTTTGGCTAATCTCTTGGAAGAAAACATCATATTGCTACACGGCAGCTATTATTTCGCAGTGGGGGATCATATATCAAAAGAAGGAGGAACTGGAACGAAAAAGTGTAAATATGGGAAAATAGTAGCTGACCGGCTGTCTTTTCGTACTTCTTTGCAGCTAGTTATTCATTTTTTTATTTGTTTATCGGAAAATTCATTTTCGAGTTCATTTTCAAAACTGTCTACCGATAATATCGTTTCCCTTACACGGCCGGCGCTAGTAAATCCACGCGCGCAAGCTATATATAAATATATATATATACATATATATAAATATATATATATATATATATATATATATATATATATATATATATATATATATATATATATATATATATATATTAAATACTAATATA